CTTCAATTCTTGGACCATTTAATTGTACTTCATTTTTTGTATGTCAACATGATTTATAAAAATGGATCCTTAAACACCTGTTTTTATATAATTTCCACAAGTATAATTCCCAACCCGGTTATTCCAAATCCGTATTGAATGATTTATTTGTTTTTATTTTAATAATTTTTCACTTAAATCATATTTTAAAGATAAATAATTATATTAAATTTAATTAACGAACCTTAAAAGAAAAAATTTCAATTCCCTCCTATCGTCGGACCCTATCCATTGTCAACCCTCAACCCTGTAAAGAATATGAATTTTTTTTTTTTTTTTTTGATATCTAGGTATCCTAACTTACACTAGACTATGTCCTGGACCACCCATCCCCGGCCCCTCAGTGATGGGTGGAGGTTAATCGCGAGATATGCCCAAATTGACCAGGGTCTGTGCACCCTTTATACTCTTGGCCCCAAGGGAGCCTTCCTCCATGGATATTACATCACCAAGCTGCTCCACCCAAATTGAGTATTACAACACTCAGCTGCTCCATCCAGCAATCGAACTCCCCACCCTAAGGTTGCAAGCAAAAAAAAAAAAAAAGAATATGAATTTTCTAATGAAAAATCTCACCCATTTCAAACATTGATATGAGTGAACCTATTTCTAGTGCCGACTAGGCCCCAATCAAATTACAACCGTGCATAGGTACAGGAAATTCCTATACCTACAGAATAGACACAGCCGAAGGCGGGAGCAACAATTTTTTTCCCAATATTTAATATATGGAGCCCGCACCATGTGATTGAGAATTCAAATTTCTGTTCAATTTCTGTATAAATTTCCCTGTACTTTCATCATTTTTCATCAAATTATGCCTGACAACCATTATTGGATAAAATGTAGTGATTATGTAAAGAATGTATTGTTAAAAAAAAAGTAGGAAAAAATTTAAATTTATGCAAAGCATGTTTTGTTTTATGAATTCATAATAAGTACGTAGAAAAAAAAATTTATAAAATAATAATTGTCAAACATGTAATATATTGGGTTGGACTAACACACATCATAATCCACAAACTATCTACATAGCACATACAAACAAATTACAATACAAGCATTCAAGCAAAAACCATGGGCTAGTCCTAATCTTGGTAAACAGTATTGATGAACTAAAGACATGATGACATATTTTGAAATTTAAATTTATTTTATTTCTTTAATAAGATCCCGTGTAGGAGGTCGAGACGATAGATCATATCAAACCAGCCAAACACTTGTGTATCTAGTCACCAACTTTCTCCCCACAAAGTGCCACAAGCTCTTCCACCACTCCATTAATCTCTTCCTCTCCTCTCCTATCCAAGTTCTCACTCACTCGTTTTGATCCCTTTATTATTTCCTCCCCACTTTTATCCAAAATAATTTTCCTCATCGCTTTTGCAATCTCTTCATCTTGAAGTTTCCCATTCTCATCCCTAAAAGCTTCTACTCCCACTCCAATGGCTTCCACTATTCTTGCATTAAGTGGTTGGTCAATTTGCATGGGCATGGCGATTATTGGGACACCAAATTTTATGCTTTCCAGTGTAGAACTCCATCCGCAGTGACTGACGAAGCCACCAATGCTCGGGTGGCCTAAAATTTTGGCTTGCGGTGCCCATCCTTCCACGATAAGACCTCGATCTCCTACCCTTTCAAGAAATTCTTGTGGCAATGCCTCTTCGATCTTGATTTTTTCCGTCAAAGGAAATCTACATTTAAATAGTATAATTTTACATACTCCCATTAGCACGATTCAATACGTCAGAACAAACAGAAATTCAGAGTTTAAAATCTTGTCACTACTCTATTCACTTGTAAAAATTGTATATGTTCCGCATACATGTATGGAAGGCATAATTTCAATAAGAAAATTACAACATGTCCCTAACTTATTGCCTAATTACCAAGTTGATACCTAACTTTTCAAATGAGCAAGTTAGTATTATAAAATAATTGCATAATCAATCCTTGGTCGCATAAACCATTCATATGCTTGTTAAATTGTCACGCGATCCTCATATCGAATTATGTTAAACTTTTGTTATTGACGGTAAGATGGTATCGAAAAAATTGAAGCTTTGTATTGTTTTCACGAAGTTCATGCGGTGATTTGATAATGATTAATTTTAATAATTTTCATATCAACCTTGCAACTATAATAAAAGTTTGAAGATCAACATGCTGTAAGATAACAAGTTCAAGGACTACTGTTGCAATTTTTCCATTGAAAGTAGGTTTGACCAAAAATATTTTCGGTTTAAATTAGTACCTGATAACCCACACGAAGTTAACCTGGCTAAGCTCTAGTGCCTTCGCTACTTCAAGTCTCTCTTCCTTGGACAGAAAATATTCACTGCCAAAAGAAACAAACACTACTGAATTCTTCTCCTTCTTGTCAAGCCATTCCATTATCTCCTTATTTTCGTCTTCAATCACAGGATCCTGAACAAGTGTGCCTACAGGGACAATCTTCTTGTTACATATAGTTGACAGAAAATCTATGTATTTTCCCTCGATCTCTCGAGAAGTTTTGATAAGAACAATGTTTTTTGATTTTGTCAGAGCAGCAAGAGCCCGATCACTCTCTTTAACATTGCCCACTTGTGAGTCCCCTAATTCTTGAATCTTATTTCTCTCGAACTGCCTCAAATTAATCTCTGGAAACGGGAATGCTTCATCTGGTTTTTGATACATGAAAAGATTAAAACAAGTGATTGTTGCACTGACTGTGAGAAATTGCACCGCCGGGATTCCACGGCAAGAAGCCAGTTCTGCCACCCACGGCTGATTATAGTCGTAAATAACGATTTGGGGTTTTACAGTATCAAGAATGTAAGATAAGTTAGGCCTTGATTCCTCAAAGGCTTTTTTGAGGGTTGTCATGAGGTGGGGTGGTAGGCCATTCGTTGTATGGTAAGGTGGAGGTAGTTCAGGGGAAGAAGGAAGAGTTAGCTCAACGAGTTGGATTGAGTCAGTGAATTTCTCTGGGATTTTTTTCTTGACTGAAGTGAGATTTACAGCAGTTGAACCCAAATGGATATGGAAATTTCTGTATACAAGTCTTTTGGCTAGTTCTAGAAACGGTGAAATGTGTCCATGGGCTAGCCATGGCAACATTAGTACATGAATTGTGTTTCTTCTGCCGTCCATGATTTCTCTCTCAGTGCTAAATGGATTCGAAGGAGAACTGCAGTATTTATAACAGACAGTAGAACCATTGCGAAGCAAGCAGAAGGCTCCAGCTGGTTACAAACAGGGAGGGATCCGGGGCCAAATCACAGGTCGAACTACTACGTAAAAAAAAAAAAAAATTACACATAAATTTTTTTTTCTAACTAATTTTTTATTTTATTTTTTGTTGGGGCCCTAAATCCGCCCCTGGTTACAAGAGACGTAAGAATTTTGTCGACGTTATTCACATAAAACTACATTTAAAGATTCAAAAAACTAAACAAATAATTCAGTTTACAATTTAGGGCCCATTTGATTATCACTATTGTAGAAGGATTGTGTTACATGTACACTCTATGATTTACACAATCTTTTACATCATTCTCACATGGAGGGGGGCCCACGAATATTTTATTGTGTGTGGACTCCCTCCATGTGAGAGGGGTGTAAAGAATTGTGTAAATGATTATGTACATTTAGCATAATCCATTGTAGAATGTGAATGAAAAATATAGCGGTTATTGAGTCCCACACAAGAGATGGTTGTACGAATTTAGTGGAGAAAGCTTCATTATTTTCCATTAAATTATAATTTATTCATCTCTTCTCTTGTAAGTGTACATTCTCTAATAAAATAATTACGTGTTCATTAAAAAATTATTATTCTTCTCATTATGGCCCTGTTTGAGCCAACTTTTTGTACAATGAGAATGAAAAATATAGTCGTTATTGGGACCCACACAAGAGATAAAAAATTTGAATTTAAATGTTGATTTGATGGATAACAGTCATATTTTTCATTTTTATTGATGAAAAATGAGAAACAAATTCGGGCTTAAATTGTCAAGTACAGTCCGTGCAAGGAGGAGCTTATTGATATTTTATTTATGTACCCTACTCGTAGACCATGTCCAGTGTTGCACCAAAATTTGTACCAAATTAATATTCATCTCCAACCATTACACCAAAAGTTACACCAAATGAACAATATTTAATCATTTTCTTCTCTTTTTTTATTCTAAGTAATTTATTTATTTGAAATATTATTTATTTATTTTCGAAATACTATTTATTTATTTATTTTAGAAATACATACATTACTAAATAAATAATTACGTTAAATTAAGGAAAATATTAAATTCATTGATAATTATATTATTAAAACATAGTATAATTAATAGAATCACTTCAAAAATGAAAAATGTTAAATCATGTCATTAAATAATAGTGCATTGCATTTCGAATTTGAATATTATGATATTATTTTAATTTTAATTAATTTAATAATTATTATTTTCAGCATTTAAAATTTATTTTAAATGCAAATAATAATAATAATAATTAGTAATAATAATAATAATAATTATTATTATTATTACTAATTATTATTATTATTATTATTTGCATTTAATAATAATAATTAGTAACATTTATTATTATTATTATTATTATTATTATATAACACAAATGACACAAATACCCTCCAACAATTTTTTTAGGAAATGAAAAAAGGTGAGCAAATTGGACTTTGCATCGTTTTGGAAATGGTGCAAAATTTGGTACCACATTAGAGCACTTTTACACCGAATTTTGGTAAGTCTTATGAATTGACAAGATCACATCTTATTTCAACTAGTCATCACAGGTTTTATTCTTCTGTTGGAGAATCGAGCAGATTCTGCAACTTGATTACGTGGTTCGTGTTTGGTCACCCACGTAAGTTACTTATAAATAAATCTCCAATAATTCTACAATCCAAGTGCTCGAGTGTGCAGGCACCCGTGTCAAAGACAAATAAACAAAGTTTCACCAACGACACTTCAAAATACAGTGTAAAGATAATGTAATGAACAGTGTTACACCAATACTTCAAAGTCCTATTTGGGAGGGATTAGATTTTTTTACAGTAAATTAATTATCATTTTCAACCACATATTTTTCATCACATCAATAATTTTTCTTCTTTTTCAACCACACATTTCTCATCATATCACTATTCAAAATCAATTCTTCCCCCAAAAATCTCTCCCAAACAAATTCCAAATATAAGAATTTTAATTTAACTCTATTTTGTCATTGTTCACAATTTATAAAATGCCGCTCATTAATTTAATTTATGATTTGTCATATGATCATTTTCAATCATATATTTATACAATAAAACATTCTACATGCATACCAAATTTTTTTATACTTTTTGTTACGGGTCAATATATGAAAGCGACACGTGGCACCGTATTTTAGCGGTGACACCAGCTTAATCAAATCAAGACATATTTTCCTAGCCTCAGAGGGGAATTCCGAGGCCATCACTGTTATTCCGAGGCCTTTGCTGTTAACAATAAGCCACAGTTTGTAAGTTGATCCAAAAGTCACCATTTGAGTTGTAGCACTATAAATACCCTCACCATGTAACACAATAGGGACTAATGCAATTCCGAAGGAAAAACTAAATATTTGGAGCAACATTTCCCTCGTTTCAACAGTGATCCCTATAGCATATTTTCTACTACAAATTATTCTTTATCGATTGGTTTCTTATACAATCGTGTTACATTTTTTTTGCCGTAAGCCTGAACGGAAACGTCTTGTGCCTTTGAGCCATTCTCACGCCCATTTTCTGGAACCATCTTGACGGTTGATCGGCATTAGCGTGTTGGATCAAACTTGCGTGTGCACGAGTGGGCCCGGTATTTGTGGCAACATTTTTTGGGGTCAACACTTTTTATTTACACATTCTTTTAAAAATCACTATTCAAAACTCTTTGTTTTTCTACAATAATGGTTGTCAAACCGGGCTCAAATTTTTTTCTTCCATATATATCTTTGTTTAATATTTTAATATTAATAGATTTTAAATTATTCATAATTATTTAGATTTTAATTGATTCATAATTATTTTAATATGATGGATTATTTTTATTTAATATCTATTTTAAAATTTTAATAAATTAATAAGTAATAATTATTTCAACAATAAATTAAGCCCATGTTGGTGGCTTTTAATTTAAAAAAAGTAAATTGTGTTTTGAAATCATGACACATGAGCAATGGCGAATTCAGGATTTTGAATAAGCACGAGCTACCGTGGACAGTCACAATAATGACACATGTTGAACTCAAATTACTTATATTGTAGGTCGAATTGTAAGTATATGTGTACGTTATCTACCAATTTAATAATGCTTATCGAGTAACAATTTAAAGTTTGAAAAACGGGTTCAATTATTTACTTTCTTGGTTCGATTTGCTAGTAATTTCAGTCTAATTAAAAAAAAATAACTATTTTAATAATTTCATTGTAATGTTGAATTTTAATTAAAAAAATTAAAAACAAAGAGGGAATATATTTATTACTTATTACTTAATAAAAGAACATATAGAATCTTGTTACATTAAATGTCAACATCCATCAAACGTCATAGTGATTAAGTGTTTCATAATTCCAATGGCGATCACATTTTCAAATTTTCCAATTGCACCGATTTTTATAATGCGCATATGCTCCAAAATGATGAAAAATATTAAATTAAAATAATTTTTAAGGGATTGCTGTAGTTGAGAGTTGAACCAAAAACTCCCATTTAGTTACATAGATTGCCCCCACACATTTGCCTTCAATACTATTAGGTAGAACAAATAAAGTGTTGCAAATTCAATAAATGAACAAAAAAAGGAAGTTACCTTCTTCCCTGACTAATTGTTACTTGACACATGCGATTTTTGACTTGTTGCTGGAGTTTTCTTGGGGCTGACCATTGTCTTCCTTTTCTTTGTTCGAACCGGTGTTTGCACCGTCTTTTTCCCCTTCTTTTCATCCTTTGTTTTCACCATTGCTATTCGTTGCCGACTGGAGATTCTGACACCGTAGACAAAACGGAATGCACCGGAGTTTGGAGATTATAGAACATTTGAATTTGGAAAAGTGGTGGAGAATGGAGATTGGGCGCAAATAACGTAGGGAGGAGATAGTACTTGAGAGAAAATAAAGCTTAAATAAAAATGGAAGTTGAGATATTCACAAATTTGAAACCCTCAATTAACGGGATACGCAAGTCAATTAATTAAAAGATTAATTATTTAACTAAAATAATAAAAACATGATAATTAAATAAATAAAGTCCTAACATGATTTATAAAAATGGATCTTTAAACACCTATTTTTATGTAATTTCCACTAGTTTCATTGGATTCGAAGAGTCGAATAATAAACAAAAAAGGGGGAAAATCATGGGTACATCACGAAAAATAAAAATATTGTGCCCTTGTTTGATACTCATTTTTTTCAAAATACATTTTTGTCTTTCTTCTTTTCAACTACACGTTTTTGAATAAAATAACATTACACGCAAACTAAAAGAATTTCTTTATTTTTAACCACACATTCTATACAAAAAATGGAGCTCAAAAATATGAATGGAAAAAAAATCCGTTTAACCTAGCCATGTCAACAAGTCGAATCGAGCGGAGTCGAGCCATGAGTTGAAACTCAAAGTTCGGCCTCGGCTCGAATAAAATAGGTCCGAGCTTTTTTGAGCTCGAGTCGAGCAGACCAAAAGGTCGGCCAAAAAAATGAGGCTCGGCCGAACTTTCGGGTCGAGCCTTAGAGGGCCGAGACAAGCCACTCGTTTTTTTTTTTTTTAGAGTTTATTCTAAATCTATAATTTTTAATAATGTATTTAAAATTTGTGCAATTTGTATGCATTATAAATAATAAATAAATATTAATATATATAAAAAATACATTTAAACTTAAAAATTAAAATTAAAATTAAAAATAAAAAGCTCGGCTCGGCTCGTGACATGGGCCTGTGACGAGCCCGAGCCGCCCGAGATTTTTTGACATCACTAGTTTAACTCGATATCCGTGGAGTCTCGTCCAAATGATGATGGGATTACCTGCCTAACCAGGTAAACGGGACGGGGGTCATTTCTCGAAGCGGATACGAGAAACATAGTCCTCACCCCACTACTCGTCC